CCCCCGTGGCTGAGTGCCGCCACCGTGCTTCTTTATTCGTCCTTTTTGCCCTTGTGCATGCCGTGCGCGCATGATGCCGCTCTTTGTTCTGCAATGCCGACCCACGTGAGCGAGAAACGACGCTTTGACTACTGGCAACTGACGCACTCACCGCCCCTCTTCCGCGCCGCCACCACCACCACGTTCACGGACGCGCTCGATGGCTGGCGGTTGCAACAATGCCACGTGTATCTGCCTCGGCTTTTGTGTGTTGTCCACGGCATCGGGGTCGTCATGTGTTGGAGGCATTTGGTGAGAAGGGCGGTGCCAATGGTCATTTGCCTCTTTGCCGGGGTCCCGCCAGTCTGCACGGCGGTTGTGTGGGGCTGCGCGGGCGTTGGGAGGCCGATGGCATCACTGGGCTGACTGCGTCTGCGCGTCTTTGTGTCGCTGGCTGTGTTGTGATGGGGACTGTCTGTGGCCGGATGCCGCTGCGTGCTGCTGTGTCTGGCTACTGTTGTTGCTGCCTCTTCCTTGTTTTACCTTGCAGATAGAGATACTGTGGCTTGACCACCACAACTATCGTTTCAAGGTTTTAGTAATTACTCGCAGCAGTAATAGTAGTATTATTAGTAGTGGGATAACGATCTGGCGGAATCGGGTCACTGTATTTGACATCTGTAGGAAGGGATTTGCGGAGCAGGAGGCACGGTCGACGAGACGAGTGCGAGACACACCACGACAGCCCTGTTGATACCTGTTTGGGTTGGTGGATGTGGTCTGCGGTAGGCGCGTGTCCGCACAGCCGGCACCGCGTGCGGCGCAGGGCCGCTGCGACTGTGCGTGTGGCGGTGCTGCTTTTGGTGTTGGCGCTGGTGTCGTTGGCGGCGTGGATGCCCGCGGTGCATGCGGTGGCGTTGCGACTGCGGGGCGGCACGGTGGAGAGAGCCATCACGGTGGGCCGCGCTGTGGACACGGTGCTGATGGACGGCGTGTGCATCACGAACGGCGTGGCTGTGGTGCTCGACGTTGCGGCGATGCTTCCCGGCGCGCTGCGCATCGAATTGAGGAACTGCGTGTGCGACGGCGGTGCGCAGATATACGTGCGGGGCTACAGCGGCGAGCCGGCGACTGACCGGAGCCTGGAGGTGAGCGTGAGCGGGCTGTCCGGGAGCTACTGCTCGCTCGTGTTTGTGCACAACCTGCCGGCACACACGAACGTGACGGTCCGTGACTCGACGATTGTGACGCCGGGGCCGATGCGCTACTCCCAACTGAGCGGGCTGACGGACGCGGTGGCGTCGCCGCTTGTGCTGCACGCGACGTCGCTGTTGCAGACGCAGCTGCGTGTGAGCAACACTGTGCTGAGGTCGTCGCATGCGGGCGGGTCGGCGGTGTACGTTGGCGGCGGTGTGGAACTGCTGTCGAGCGCTGTGGTGCTTGACGGCGTGTCGCTGGAGGCGTCGGGCGGTCCGACCGCGTCCGCGATGCATGTAACGTCCTCGTCGCGTCTCAGTCTGCGGAGCCACTCGGTGTTCTCCGTGACGAACGTGTCGGTCGTGAGCAGTGGCGGCGGCATTGTGCTTGGCGAGCGCCTCGCGGTGTTTGATTCGGTGCTGCGCTTCGTGGGCGTTGAGGGGTCTGTCGCGTCGTCCTCGTTGGTGCACTGCGGCGGTGGGACGGTCGGTGCCGGCGGGTGGGTGGACATGCAAAACGTGTGGGCGGTGGGCGAGGCGTCGTCTGTGGCGTCGCTGTCGGGGGTGACGCTGGGCGGCGGCGCCGTGTCGATTGCTCGCTGCGCTGCCACCGGCACGACGCTTGCCGCCGGGCCGACGATCACGAGCGGCGCTGTGCCCGTGCAGTGCAACCGTGCTGGCGGCCGCGTGCTGCAGAGCGGCGGCGACTACCGCTTGGCCGGCCTGCCCTCCGTGAGCGTGGTGCCGTGCGACGGCTGTGCGGCCGCGCTGGCGTGCTTTGGTGAGCTGACGGCGTCTTTCTCCGAGTGCGTGTGCAGCTGCCGCGCCGGCGGTGTGGGCGAGGCGTGCCTGCCGTTTGACATGCCGCCTGCGAGTTCCGGCGGTGGCGGTGCGCAGGACTGCGTGAGTGGCGTGACGCTGACGGAGTCCGTGACGGTTGGCGGTGGGCGTGCGACGGTGTGCTTCGACTCGGTGGTGTTCAGCGGACCGATCACTCTGGCGGTGGACCTGCACTTGATGGACGCGTTCGCTGACGCGCTGAACGTGACGCTGCGACACTGCGTGCTTGTGGGCGGCGCGCAGCTGCGGATTGGCGGCCTCAGCAAGAGCACGGCGCTCTCGATGCCCCACGTTTTTGTCAACATGACGAATGTGACGTCGCTGGAGGGCACGATCGTGCTGCATGGCGCGATGCCGCTGAACTCGAGTGTGCTGCTGGCGAACTCGACGCTGCGCGCGACGGTTGGCGGGTCGCAGTACGTGCCGACGACTCCTGGCCACGAGAAATCCCGGTACGGCCCCGCGCTTGTTCTGGACGGCGTCCGGCTTCTGTCGACGTGGTTTGTCATGACGCGGTCGAAGCTGGTGTGTGGCGGGGGTTCGTGCGCTGCGATCCTTGTGGAGCGTGGCCTCGGTGTGAACCTTTCCAGCGTCTTCTACATGGACAACTGCGCTGTCAATTCGCAGACGCACGTGATGTACGCTCTTGCGTCGGGCCTGCGTGTCAGCGGCGGCTCCGTGTTCTCCATACAGAACAGCTCGTGGAGTGCTCCGAGCACCGAATACCACAAAGGCGCGTGTGTGTTTGGGGACGTTGTGGTGGATGGCGGCAGCGTGCTGCAGGTTGTGTCCAGCGAGTTCCGTCTCGGCTTTGCCATGCTCATGGCAACCACGCTGACTGTGACTGGCGGCAGCTGGCTGGTGCACCGCGACAACGCGTTCCGCACCGCCTACGTTGTGTACGTGGACAAATACGACGGCGTGGCGTTCCGCGATCAGAGTGTGTGGTCAATACTTCACAACAACTTTGGTTACGGCTCCTATTCATCGACCACTGCATACATGACAAGTTTTTGGTCGGCACAAGACGACGCGAGCCCGATCATCTACGGCACGTGCAACGAGCTAAGAGGATCTCCTGTGACTGATTACGATGAGGACCTCTATATTAGGACACCCGTGACGGCATTGGACTGTGGCACTTGCACCGTGGACGCCGTGTGCTTCGCAGCGAAGACGAGCAGCGTCAGCGGCTGTGGGTGTGTGTGCGCTGCTGGCGGCTACGGCGACACGTGTCTGCCAGCTGCGGTTCCGGACGGCCTTGGGCCGCTCCCGCTCCCCGACGCGGACGACACGGAGGTCCGCTGCGTGCACGGTGGCAGCATCGACTCTTTGGACTATCCTGATCCCGGTGTGCGTGGCCTGTGCTTTGTCAACGTGACCTTCACCGCCACGATTCTGCTGGACCTGTCGTATTTTAACGCGCCTGAACAGACAGTCAACATCACGCTGCTGCAGTGCGTCCTCATGGGCCTGTCGATCAGGGGGAGTGGTGCGAGCGTGCACGTGAACGTGACATCCTCGATGCTGGATTCTGGTGCATTGGAGTTTGAGGGTGATTTTGGCGCGAGTTCCCAGATGCTGGTGGTGGGTAGTACACTTGTGTCAGCGTCTGATTACGCCATTCACTTTCCAAGGTTTACTTTGGGTACGAACTCGGCGCTGCTGCTGCTCGACAACAAGGTGGAGGGAGATATTTACGCAGTTTATTTTTTCGTTGCTGTTGTTGTTGATGGGGGCGGGATCATTATGAAGGGAAACACGCTGAGATCAAAGAAGAAGGATTACGGTTCGGCATCGGCCGTATACGTTCACACTGTTGAATTGAAGAACGGCGGCTACTTTGACGTCGAGAACAACACGATGAGCGCAGCCAGCGGCATTTATTTTTACGGGGATACTACTGTGGGCTCCGCGGGGCTGCTGAGGGTGGCGGACTGCACCTTCACTGGCGGCACGGAGGCATTCAATTCTGCGCTGTTGTATTTGTACGGCTCGGTTATTCTCCAGGGTGGTGCGCAGTGGCGTGTGGAGGGCAACAACGTGAGCGCAGCCTCACTATTGAGTATGCCGTATTCCTGGTCCACTATTAGACTTTTGGGCAGCGGCACCACCGTGTCGCTTGCACACAACCGTCAGGCGGACTCGAGTAAAGCCTTTGCGAGAATACCATCGAACTCGATTGTGACGACACCCGCGCGTTTTGTGGTTGGGTGCAACATGCAGGGCGAGAAGGAGGTGTCGTACGACGGCGTGTTTCCGGAGGACGTGGTGGTGTTCGGGTGCGGCACATGCAACGACGACGCGGCGTGCTACATGCCCGGTACGGAGTCGGTGGACCGCAGCTCGTGCTCGTGCAGCTGCAAGGGCGGATGGCATGGCGCGTCGTGTCTTCCCTTTGCGGTGCCCGACACGGTTGTGCCGCCCGCGCCGGAGAGAGCCGTGGACGGCGACAGGAGCTGCGTGGTGAACCAGACGCTGACGAGCCTCGCGCTGAACATGTGGAAGACGCACCACTGCTACGTGGGTGTGACATTCAGCGGCGTGGGTGCATTGCTGATGTTCTCTCTCAACAGTATGCCGCTGCATCTCCCCATCAACATCACGCTCACTGGGTGCACATTCCGTGACGGAGCCGCGCTGCAGTTTGTTGGGGGCACTGAGGCGGCTGAGTCAGCCGGCGTCCTGATCCGCGTGAGCCAGACGGTGATGCGGTCCTCCGTTGTTTTATTTAGGCGTGCCCTCCCGCAGCACTGCGACATCGCCGTCACTGAAGTCGACGCGGAGCAGTCCTCCGATATCCAGCTTTCAGGCACTGCAAGCAGCAAGTTGAGCGTGGTGATGCTGGACGACGTCGTGTTGAGTGCGTCCTCGCTGTTGGTCAG